TCACCGTGTCTCTCACTGTGTGTGTCTCTCTGTGTCTCTCTCACCGTGTCTCTCTCACCGTGTGTCTCTCTCTCTCTCACCGTGTCTCTCTCACTGTGTGTCTCTCTCTGTGTGTCTCTCTCACCGTGTGTCTCTCTCTCTCACTGTGCCTCTCTCACCGTGTGTCACTCTCTGTGTGTCTCTCTCTGTGTGTCTCTGTGTGTGTGTCTCTGTGTGTGTGTCTCTCTCTGTGTGTCTCTGTGTGTGTCTCTCACCGTGTCTCTCTCTCTGTGTGTCTCTCTGTGTGTGTCTCTCTCACCGTGTCTCTCTCACTGTGTGTCTCTCTCTCACTGTGTCTCTCTCTCTCTCTGTGTGTCTCTCTCTGTGTGTCTCTCTCACTGTGTGTCTCTCTCTGTGTGTCTCTCTCTGTGTGTCTCTGTGTGTCTCTCACTGTGTGTCTCTCTCTCTGTGTGTCTCTGTGTGTCTCTCTCTCACCGTGTGTCTCTCTCACTGTGTCTCTCTCTGTGTGTCTCTCTCTCTCTGTGTCTCTGTGTGTCTCTGTGTGTGTGTGTCTCTCACCGTGTGTCTCTCTCTGTGTGTCTCTCTCTCTCTGTGTGTCTCTCTCTCTCTCTGTGTGTCTCTCTCTCTGTGTGTCTCTGTGTGTCTCTCACTGTCTCTCTCTCTGTGTCTCTCACTGTGTCTCTCTCTCACTGTGTGTCTCTCACTGTGTGTCTCTGTGTGTCTCTCACTGTCTCTCTCTCTGTGTCTCTCACTGTGTCTCTCTCTCTGTGTGTGTCTCTCTCTGTGTCTCTCACTGTGTGTCTCTGTGTGTGTCTCTCACCGTGTCTCTCTCTCACCGTGTCTCTCTCTCTGTGTCTCTCTCACCGTGTGTCTCTCTCTGTGTGTCTCTCTCACCGTGTGTCTCTCTCACTGTGTGTCTCTCTCTCTGTGTCTCTCTCACTGTGTGTCTCTCACCGTGTGTCTCTCTCTCTCACTGTGTGTCTCTCTCACCGTGTGTCTCTCTCTGTGTGTCTCTCTCTGTGTGTGTCTCTCTGTGTGTGTCTCTCTCTGTGTGTCTCTGTGTGTGTCACTGTGTGTGTGTGTGTCTCTCTGTGTCTCTCTCTGTGTGTCTCTCACTGTGTGTCTCTCACTGTGTGTCTCTCTCACTGTGTGTCTCTCTCTGTGTGTCTCTGTGTGTGTCTCTCACTGTGTCTCTCTCTGTGTGTCTCTGTGTGTGTCACTGTGTGTGTGTCTCTCTCTGTGTGTCTCTCTCTGTGTGTCTCTCTCTGTGTCTCTCACTGTGTGTCTCTCTCACTGTGTGTCTCTCTCTCTGTGTCTCTCACCGTGTGTCTCTCTCTGTGTGTCTCTGTGTCTCTCTCTCTGTGTGTCTCTGTGTGTCTCTCTCTCTCTGTGTGTCTCTCTCACCGTGTCTCTCTCTCTGTGTCTCTCTCTGTGTGTGTCTCTCTCTCTGTGTGTCTCTCTCACCGTGTCTCTCTCTCACCGTGTCTCTCTCTGTGTGTCTCTCTCTGTGTGTCTCTGTGTGTCTCTCTCTCTCTGTGTGTCTCTGTGTGTCTCTCTGTGTGTGTCTCTCTATGTGTGTCTCTGTGTGTCTCTCTCTGTGTGTGTGTCTCTCACTGTGTCTCTCTCACCGTGTGTCTCTCACCGTGTGTCTCTCTCACTGTGTGTCTCTCTCTCTCTCTCTGTGTCTCTCTCACTGTGTGTCTCTCACCGTGTGTCTCTCTCTCTCACCGTGTCTCTCTCTCTGTGTGTCTCTGTGTGTCTCTCACTGTCTCTCTCTCTCTGTGTCTCTCACTGTGTCTCTCTCTGTGTGTGTGTCTCTCTCTGTGTGTCTCTCTCTGTGTGTCTCTGTGTGTGTGTCTCTCACTGTGTGTCTCTCTCACCGTGTCTCTCTCTGTGTGTGTCTCTGTGTCTCTCTCTCTCTCTGTGTGTCACTGTGTGTGTGTGTGTCACTGTGTGTCTCTGTGTGTGTCTCTCTCACTGTGTGTCTCTCTCTCTCACCGTGTCTCTCTCTCACCGTGTCTCTCTCACTGTGTCTCTCTCTGTGTGTCTCTCTCTCTCTCTGTGTCTCTCTCACCGTGTCTCTCTCACCGTGTGTCTCTCTCTGTTTGTCTCAGGAATTCCGTAGGCAGCAGCAGGAGGAGGAGAGGGTCAGGCTGGCCCAGGATTCCCGTTGGAAGCGATTCAGGCGCTCTCAACGCAGTGACGGAGCCGGAAGAATGACGTTCTCAGACGACTGAGACACACCCAGCTACTTAGACACAGTGTCTCTCTACGTAGACACAGTGTCTGTCTACGTAGACACACAGAGCTACGTAGACACACCGCACTACGTAGACACACCCTGCTACATCGACACACACCGGGTTTGATTAACAGAGACACCACAGTGGCTGGGTGAGATGTTGACCACCTCGCCTGATCTACAGGAGGTCGTGGTAGATGTTGACCACCTCGCCTGGTATACAGGAGGTCGTGGTAGATGTTGACCATCTCGGCTGGTCTACAGGAGGTCGTGGTAGATGTTGACCACCTCGCCTGGTCTACAGGAGGTCGTGGTAGATGTTGACCACCTCGCCTGGTCTACAGGAGGTCGTGGTAGATGTTGACCACCTCGCCTGGTCTGCAGGAGGTCGTGGTAGATGTTGACCACCTCGCCTGGTCTACAGGAGGTCGTGGTAGCTGTTGACCACCTCGCCTGGTCTACAGGAGGTCGTGGTAGATGTTGACCACCTCGCCTGGTCTACAGGAGGTCGTGGTAGATGTTGACCACCTCGCCTGGTCTACAGGAGGTCGTGGTAGATGTTGACCACCTCGCCTGGTCTACAGGAGGTCGTGGTAGATGTTGACCACCTCGCCTGGTCTACAAGAGGTCGAGGTAGATGTTGACCACCTCGCCTGGTCTACAGGAGGTCGTGGTAGATGTTGACCACCTCGCCTGGTCTACAGGAGGTCGTGGTAGATGTTGACCACCTAGCCTGGTCTACAGGAGGTCGTGGTAGATGTTGAACACCTCGCCTGGTCTACAGGAGGTCGTGGTAGACGTTGACCACCTCGCCTGGTCTACAGGAGGTCGTGGTAGATGTTGACCACCTCGCCTGGTCTACAGGAGGTCGTGGTAGATGTTGACCACCTCGCCTGGTCTACAGGAGGTCGTGGTAGATGTTGACCACCTCGCCTGGTCTACAGGAGGTCGTGGTAGATGTTGACCACCTCGCCTGGTCTACAGGAGGTCGTGGTAGACGTTGACCACCTCGCCAGGTCTACAGGAGGTCGTGGTAGATGTTGAACACCTCGCCTGGTCTACAGGAGGTCGTGGTAGATGTTGAACACCTCGCCTGGTCTACAGGAGGTCGTGGTAGACGTTGACCACCTTGCCTGGTCTACAGGAGGTCGTGGTAGATGTTGAACACCTCGCCTGGTCTACAGGAGGTCGTGGTAGACGTTGACCACCTCGCCTGGTCTACAGGAGGTCGTGGTAGATGTTGAACACCTCGCCTGGTCTACAGGAGGTCGTGGTAGATGTTGACCACCTCGCCTGGTCTACAGGAGGTCGTGGTAGATGTTGACCACCTCGCCTGGTCTACAGGAGGTCGTGGTAGATGTTGACCACCTCGCCTGGTCTACAGGAGGTCGTGGTAGACGTTGACCACCTCGCCTGGTCTACAGGAGGTCGTGGTAGATGTTGACCACCTCGCCTGGTCTACAGGAGGTCGTGGTAGCTGTTGACCACCTCGCCTGGTCTACAGGAGGTCGTGGTAGATGTTGACCACCTCGCCTGGTCTACAGGAGGTCGTGGTAGATGTTGACCACCTCGCCTGGTCTACAGGAGGTCGTGGTAGATGTTGACCACCTCGCCTGGTCTACAGGAGGTCGTGGTAGACGTTGATCACCTCGCCTGGTCTACAGGAGGTCGTGGTAGATGTTGACCACCTCGCCTGGTCTACAGGAGGTCGTGGTAGATGTTGACCACCTCGCCTGGTCTACAGGAGGTCGTGGGTTCAATCCCTGGACCCTGACACTGCCTGCTGCTTAATAAATGTCTCCAGGACCTCTGACTCTCTGTGTGGGTCTCTGAGTCTCTGTGTGTGTCTCTGTGTCTGTGAGTCTCTGTGGGTCTCTGTGTCCGTCTCTGTTAGATTTTTTTTTTAACACAGACTGCCCTATATGACATCATAACAACAGTCTGGACCACTGGACGGGTTCCGCAGGATTGGAAGGATGCCCTGGTGGTCCCCCTCTTTAAGAAGGGGGACCGCACAGACTGTAACAACTACAGGGGCATCTCACTCCTCAGTGTGCCGGGAAAAGTCCTGGCAAGGATTATTCAACATCGCCTTGCCAGGCACGCTGAGGAGAGGCTTGCGGAGCCCCAATGCGGTTTCAGGAAAGGGCGGTCCTGCACAGATGCCATATTTTCTGTCCGTCTGCTACAGCAGAGGTGTAGGGAATTCCAACAAGACCTACATCTCTGCTTTATTGACCTGGTTAAGGCCTATGATACCATCAGTAGGCCTGGCCTCTGGGTCGTTCTTCGTGCTTTTGGAGTACCTGACCCTCTGTTCACGATCATTAAGGACCTTCATGATGGTGAGCGGGCCCGGGTAAAACTATACACTTTGTACCACTTTGTAGTAGTGTATAGTGTAGTGGAGTAGTGTATAGTGTAGTAGTGTATAGTGTAGTGGTGTATAGTGTATAGTGTAGCAGTGTGTAGTGTACAGTGTAGTAGTGTACAGTAGTAGTGTATAGTGTAGTAGTGTACAGTAGTAGTGTATAGTGTAGTAGTGTACAGTAGTAGTGTAGTGTAGTAGTGTGTAGTGTAGTGTAGTAGTGTGTAGTGTATAGTATATAGTGTAGTGGTGTGTATAGTGTAGTGGTGTGTATAGTGTAGTAGTGTATAGTATAGTGTAGTAGTGTATAGTGTAGTAGTATATAGTGTAGTAGTGTATCGTAGTGTATAGTGTAGTAGTGTATAGTGTAGTAGTGTATAGTGTAGTAGTGTATAGTGTAGTAGTGTATAGTGTAGTAGTGTATAGTGTAGTAGTGTGTAGTGTAGTAGTGTGTAGTGTGGTAGTGTATAGTGTAGTGTAGTAGTGTGTAGTGTAATAGTGTAGTAGTGTATAGTATATAGTGTAGTAGTGTATAGTGTAGTGGTGTGTATAGTGTATAGTATAGTGTAGTAGTGTATAGTGTAGTAGTATATAGTGTAGTAGTGTATCGTAGTGTATAGTGTAGTAGTGTATAGTACAGTGTAGTAGTGTATAGTGTAGTAGTGTATAGTGTAGTAGTGTATAGTGTAGTGTAATAGTGTAGTGTAATAGTGTAGTAGTGTGTAGTGTAGTAGTGTATAGTGTAGTAGTGTATAGTGTAGTGTAGAGTGAGTGATTGATCCGAGTTGATTTTGATAGAGTTGCTTCCAATGCTTTATTATCCAACATCACCACCACGACCACCATCAACATTACCATCATCATCACCACCATCACAGTATGACATCACAAACATCGATCAGTTTGACTTCTTGGTTGCCTGGCGGTGATGTTGATGGTGGTGATGTTGATGGTGGTGATGGCGGTGGGGATGGTGGTGATGGTGGTGGTGGTGGTGGTGATGGTGGTGGTGGTGATGGTGGTGATGGTGGTGGTGGTGATGGTGATGGTGGTGGTGGTGGTGATGGTGGTGATGGTGGTGGTGGTGATGGTGGTGGTGGTGATGGTGGTGGTGGTGATGGTGGTGGTGGTGGTGGTGATGGTGGTGATGGTGGTGATGGTGGTGGTGGTGGTGATGGTGGTGATGGTGATGATGGTGATGGTGGTGATGTTGATGGTGGTGATGGTGGTGATGGTGGTGATGGTGGTCATGTTGATGGCGATGGTGGTGATGGGGATGGTGGTGAAGGTGTTGATGGTGGTGGTGGTGGTGATGTTGGTGGTGGTGGTGATGGTGGTGATGGTGATAATGGCGGTGATGGTGATGGTGGTGATGGTGGTGATGTTGATGGTGGTGATGGTGGTGATGTTGATGGTGGTGATGGTGGTGATGTTGATGGCGATGATGTTGATGGTGGTGATGTTGTTGATGGCGGTGATGTTGATGGTGGTGATGGTGGTGATGGTGATGATGGTGGTGATGTTGTTGATGTTGATGGTGGTGATGTTGATGTTGATGATGGCGGTGATGTTGATGGTGGTGATGTTATTGTTGATGTTGTTGTTGATGTTGTTGATGTTGTTGATGTTGGACCCCATCACCACACGACGTTGATGTTGGTGGCGGTGAGGTCGGTTCGGCTGGGATACATCACACGTAGACATCCATCAGCCTCATTCAGCACCACCACCTGAACAACATCAACATCATCAACAACAACATCAACAACATCATCAAGAACAACAACATCATCACACGTAGACATCCATCAGCCTCATTCAGCACCACCACCTGGAGAACATCAACATCATCAACAACATCATCAACAACAACATCAACAACAACATCATCAACAACATCAACAACAACATCAAAAACAACATCAACATCATCAACAACATCAACAACAACATCAACAACAACATCATCAACAACATCATCAACAACATCATCAACAACATCAACAACAACAACATAAACATCATCAACAACAACATCATCAACAACATCATCAACAACAACATCAACATCAACATCATCAACAACAACATCATCAACAACATCATCAACAACATCATCAACAACATCAACATCAACAACATCAACATCAACAACATCAACAACAACAACATCAACATCATCAACAACAACATCATCAACAACATCATCAACAACAACATCAACATCATCAACAACAACATCATCAACAACATCATCAACATCATCACACGAAGACATCCATCAGCCTCATTCAGCACCACCACCTGGAGAACATCAACAACAACATCAACAACAACATCAACAACAACATCAACAACAACAACATCAACAACAACATCAACAACAACATCAACAACAACATCAACAACAACATCAACATCATCAACATCAACAACAACAACATCAACAACATCATCAACAACAACAACATCAACATCAACAACAACATCAACAACATCATCATCAACATCATCAACATCATCAACATCATCATCAACAACAACATCATCATCAACAACATCAACAACAACATCAACAACAACATCATCAACATCAACAACATCATCAACATCATCAACAACATCATCAACAACAACATCAACAACATCAACATCATCAACAACATCATCAACATCAACAACATCATCACACGTAGACATCCATCAGCCTCATTCAGCCCCATCACCTGGATAACAACAACATCAACAACAACATCATCATCATCAACAACATCAACAACATCATCAACAACATCATCATCAACATCATCAACAACATCATCAAGAACATCAACAACATCAACAACAACATCAACAACATCATCACCTGAACAACATAAACAACAACATCAATAACATCAACCACCATCACCACCACCATCAACACCACAACCATCACCACCATCACCACCATCACCACCATCACCATCACGTGATTTGTTACCTGCATCACCTCCAATGCCTTCTTGGTTCCAGTTCGTTGAGTCTGCAAACATCACCACCACCATCATCATCATCATCAGTAACATCATCACCACCACCATCAACACCATCAGTAATATCATCATCATCAGTAACACCACCATCAGTAACATTACCATCAGTAACATCACCATCAGTAACATCACCACCATCATCATCAGTAACATCATCATCAGTAACATCACCATCAGTAACATCACCATCAGTAACATCATCATCAGTAACATCATCATCATCAGTAACATCATCATCATCATCAGTAACATCACCATCAGTAACATCACCATCATCATCAGTAACATCATCATCATCAGTAGCATCATCATCAGTAGCAGCATCATCATCATTAGTATCATCATCATCAGTAGCATCATCATCATCATTAGTATCATCATCATCAGTAGCATCATCATCAGTAGCAGCAGCAGCATCATCATCATCATCAGTAGCATCATCATCATCATCAGAAGCAGCATCATCATCATCATCAGTAGTAGCACCATCACCACCATCACCACCACCATCACCACCACCATCACCACGACCACCACCACCATCACCACCATCACCACCATCACCACCACCATCACCACCACCACCACCATCACCACCATCACCACCATCACCACCACCATCACCACCATCACCACCACCATCACCACCACCATCACCACCACCATCACCACGACCACCACCACCATCACCACCATCACCACCATCACCACCATCACCACCACCACCATCACCACCACCATCACCACCATCACCACGACCACCACCATCACCACCATCACCACCACCACCATCACCACCACCATCACCACCACCATCACCACCACCACCACCATCACCATCACCACCACCACCATCACCACCACCACCATCACCACCACCACCATCATCACCACCACCACCATCACCACCACCATCACCACCACCACCACCATCACCACCATCACCACCATCATCACCATCATCACCACCACCACCATCACCACCACCACCACCACCATCACCAACACCACCACCATCACCACCATCACCACCACCATCACCACCACCATCACCAACACCACCATCACCAACACCACCATCACCATCACCACCACCACCATCACCACCATCACCACCACCATCACCACCACCATCACCACCATCACCACCACCACCACCATCACCACCATCACCACCATCACCACCACCACCACCACCATCACCAACACCACCACCATCACCACCATCACCACCACCACCATCACCACCACCACCAACACCACCATCACCATCACCACCACCACCATCACCACCATCACCACCACCATCACCACCACCAACACCACCATCACCATCACCACCACCACCATCACCACCACCATCACCACCACCACCATCACCACCACCATCACCATCACCACCACCACCATCACCATCACCACCACCACCACCACCACCATCACCACCATCACCACCATCACCACCACCACCATCACCACCATCACCACCATCATCACCATCACCACCACCACCATCACCACCACCACCATCACCATCACCACCACCATCACCATCACCACCATCACCACCACCACCACCATCACCATCACCACCATCATCACCATCACCATCACCACCACCATCACCATCACCACCACCATCACCACCATCACCACCATCACCACCACCATCACCACCACCACCATCACCACCATCACCACCACCATCACCACCACCACCACCACCACACTCACACCATCACCACCATCACCACCACCATCACCACCACCACCACCATCACCACCACCACCACCATCACCACCATCACCATCACCACCACCACCACCATCACCACCACCATCACCACCATCACCATCACCACCACCACCACCATCACCACCATCACCACCATCACCACCACCACCACCACCATCACCACCACCATCACCACCACCATCACCACGACCACCACCACCATCACCACCATCACCATCACCACCATCACCATCACCACCACCATCACCACCACCACCATCACCATCACCACCACCATCACCATCACCACCATCACCACCATCACCACCACCATCACCACCATCACCATCACCACCACCACCATCACCACCATCACCACCATCACCACCATCACCACCACCACCATCACCACCACCATCACCACCATCACCACGACCACCACCATCACCACCACCACCATCACCACCATCACCACCACCATCACCACCACCACCACCACACTCACACCATCACCACCATCACCACCACCATCACCACCACCACCACCATCACCACCACCACCACCATCACCACCATCACCATCACCACCACCACCACCATCACCACCACCATCACCACCATCACCATCACCACCACCACCACCATCACCACCATCACCACCATCACCACCACCATCACCATCACCACCACCATCACCACCACCATCACCATCACCACCACCACCATCACCATCACCACCATCACCATCACCACCACCATCACCACCACCACCATCACCATCACCACCACCATCACCATCACCACCATCACCACCATCACCACCATCACCACCACCATCACCACCACCACCATCACCACCATCACCACCATCACCATCACCACCACCACCACCATCACCATCACCACCATCACCACCATCACCACCATCACCATCACCACCATCACCATCACCACCATCACCATCACCACCATCACCATCACCACCACCATCACCACCATCACCACCACCACCACCATCACCACCACCACCATCACCACCATCACTACCACCATCACCACCACCACCACCACCACCATCACCACCACCACCACCACCATCACCACCATCACCACCACCATCACCACCACCACCATCACCACCATCACCACCACCACCACCATCACCATCACCACCATCACCATCACCACCACCATCACCACCACCACCATCACCATCACCACCATCACCACCATCACCACCACCATCACCACCATCACCACCATCACCATCACCACCACCACCACCATCACCATCACCACCACCACCACCATCACCATCACCACCATCACCACCATCACCACCATCACCATCACCACCATCACCACCACCATCACCACCACCACCATCACCACCACCATCACCATCACCACCACCACCACCATCACCATCACCACCATCACCACCATCACCACCATCACCATCACCACCACCATCACCATCACCACCATCACCACCACCACCACCATCACCACCACCACCATCACCACCATCACTACCACCATCACCACCACCACCACCATCACCACCATCACCACCACCACCATCACCACCACCACCATCACCACCATCACCACCATCACCACCACCATCACCACCACCACCACCACCATCACCACCACCACCATCACCACCATCACCACCACCATCACCACCACCATCACCACCATCACCATCACCACCATCACCATCACCACCATCACCACCACCACCATCACCACCACCATCACCACCATCACCACCATCACCACCACCACCATCACCATCACCACCATCACCACCATCACCACCATCACCACCATCACCACCATCACCATCACCACCACCATCACCACCATCACCATCACCACCATCACCACCATCACCACCACCATCACCACCATCACCACCATCACCATCACCACCACCACCACCACCATCACCATCACCACCATCACCATCACCACCATCACCATCACCACCATCACCATCACCACCACCACCATCACAACCACCATCACCATCACCACCACCATCACCATCACCACCATCACCACCACCACCACCACCACCATCACCACCATCACTACCACCATCACCACCACCACCACCACCATCACCACCATCACCACCACCACCACCATCACCACCATCACCACCACCATCACCATCACCACCACCACCATCACCATCACCACCATCACCATCACCACCACCATCACCACCACCACCATCACCATCACCACCATCACCACCATCACCACCACCATCACCACCATCACCACCATCACCATCACCACCACCACCACCATCACCATCACCACCACCACCACCATCACCATCACCACCATCACCACCATCACCATCACCACCATCACCATCACCACCATCACCACCACCACCATCACCACCACCATCACCATCACCACCACCACCACCATCACCACCATCACCACCATCACCACCATCACCATCACCACCACCATCACCATCACCACCATCACCACCACCACCACCATCACCACCACCACCATCACCACCATCACTACCACCATCACCACCACCACCACCATCACCACCATCACCACCACCACCATCACCACCACCACCATCACCACCATCACCACCATCACCACCATCACCACCACCATCACCACCACCACCACCACCATCACCACCACCACCATCACCACCATCACCACCACCATCACCACCACCATCACCACCATCACCATCACCACCATCACCATCACCACCATCACCACCACCACCATCACCACCACCATCACCACCATCACCACCATCACCATCACCACCACCACCATCACCATCACCACCATCACCACCATCACCACCATCACCACCATCACCATCACCACCACCATCACCATCACCACCATCACCACCACCACCACCATCACCACCACCACCATCACCACCATCACTACCACCATCACCACCACCACCACCATCACCACCATCACCACCACCACCATCACCACCACCACCATCACCACCATCACCACCATCACCACCATCACCACCACCATCACCACCACCACCACCATCACCACCACCACCATCACCACCATCACCACCATCATCACCATCACCACCACCATCACCACCATCACCACCATCACCACCACCATCACCACCACCACCACCATCACCACCACCATCACCACCACCATCACCACCATCACCACCACCACCATCACCACCATCACCACCATCACCACCACCATCACCACCATCACCACCACCACCATCACCATCACCACCATCACCATCACCACCACCACCACCACCATCACCACCATCACCACCATCACCACCACCACCACCATCACCACCACCATCACCACCATCACCACCACCACCATCACCACCATCACCACCATCACCACCATCACCACCACCACCACCATCACCACCACCATCACCACCATCACCACCACCACCATCACCACCATCACCACCATCACCACCATCACCACCACCATCACCACCACCATCACCACCATCACCACCACCACCATCACCACCATCACCACCATCACCACCACCATCACCACCATCACCACCATCACCATCACCACCACCACCACCATCACCATCACCACCACCATCACCACCATCACCACCACCACCACCACCATCACCACCATCACCACCACCATCACCACCACCATCACCACCATCACCACCACCATCACCACCATCACCACCACCACCACCATCACCACCACCATCACCATCACCACCACCACCACCATCACCACCATCACCACCATCACCACCACCACCATCACCACCATCACCACCACCATCACCACCATCACCACCACCATCACCACCATCACCACCACCATCACCATCACCACCATCACCATCACCACCACCACCATCACCACCACCACCACCACCATCACCACCACCACCATCACCACCATCACCACCATCACCACCACCACCATCACCATCACCACCACCATCACCACCATCACCACCACCATCACCACCACCATCACCACCATCACCACCATCACCACCATCACCTCATCAGGGTTTATTGTTCCAGGAAGCTGTTGCAGTGAGTGGTGAAGCTCAGCCACTCTCTGTGAGGAAATCATCAAAAACATCAACATCAACAACAACATCAACAACATCATCTACAACAACATCATCATCATCAACAACATCAACATCATCATCAACAACAACATCATCAACAACATCAACATCAACATCATCAACAACATCATCATCAACAACAACAACATCATCATCATCAACATCAACATCATCAACAACATCAACAACATCATCATCAACAACAACATCATCAACAACATCAACATCATCAACAACATCAACAACATCATCATCAACAACAACAACAACAATATCATCAACAACATCAACATCATCATCATCAACAACATCAACATCATCATCAACACCAACATCATCAACATCATCATCAACAACAACAACATCATCAACAACATCAACATCATCAACAACATCATCAACATCAACAACATCAACAACATCAACATCATCATCATCATCAACAACAACATCATCAACATCATCAACAACAACATCAATATCATCATCAATGGGTAAGTGGGTGGGTGAGTCAGTGAGTGAGTGGGTGAGTGAGTGGGTGGGTGGGTGAGTGAGTGAGTGAGTGGGTGAGTGAGTGGGTGGGTGGGTGGGTGAGTGGGTGGGTGGGTGGGTGAGTGGGTGGGTGAGTGGGTGAGTGAGTGGGTGGGTGGGTGGGTGGGTGAGTGTGTGAGTGAGTGGGTGAGTCAGTGAGTGAGTGGGTGAGTGAGTGGGTGGGTGAGTGAGTGAGTGAGTGGGTGAGTGAGTGGGTGGGTGGGTGGGTGAGTGGGTGGGTGAGTGGGTGGGTGAGTGAGTGGGTGAGTGGGTGGGTGGGTGAGTGGGTGGGTGAGTGAGTGAGTGAGAGGGTGAGTAAGTGAGTGGGTGGGTGGGTGAGTGGGTGAGTGAGTGAGTGAGTGGGTGGGTGAGTGGGTGGGTGAGTGATTGAGTGGGTGAGTGGGTGGGTGAGTGAGTGAGTGAGTGGGAGGGTGAGTGAGTGAGTGGGTAGGTGGGTGAGTGGGTGAGTGAGTGAGTGAGTGGGTGAGTGAGTGGGTGAGTGAGTGGGTGAGTGAGTGGGTGAGTGAGTGGGTGAGTGAGTGACTGAGTGAGTGACTGAGTGAGTGGGTGGGTGAGTGAGTGAGTGAGTGGGTGAGTGAGTGGGTGAGTGAGTGGGTGGGTGGGTGGGTGAGTGAGTGAGTGAGTGGGTGGGTGGGTGAGTGAGTGAGTGAGTGGGTGAGTGAGTGGGTGGGTGGGTGGGTGAGTGGGTGGGTGAGTGAGTGGGTGAGTGGGTGGGTGGGTGAGTGGGTGGGTGAGTGAGTGAGTGGGAGGGTGAGTGAGTGAGTGGGTGGGTGGGTGAGTGGGTGAGTGAGTGAGTGAGTGGGTGGGTGAGTGGGTGGGTGAGTGAGTCAGTGAGTGGGTGGGTGAGTGGGTGGGTGAGTGAGTGAGTGGGTGAGTGGGTGGGTGAGTGAGTGAGTGGGAGGGTGAGTGAGTGAGTGGGTGGGTGGGTGAGTGGGTGAGTGAGTGAGTGGGTGAGTGAGTGGGTGAGTGAGTGGGTGAGTGATTGGGTGAGTGAGTGGGTGAGTGAGTGGTTGAGTGGGTGGGTGAGTGAGTGAGTAGGTGGGTGGGTGAGTGAGTGAGTGAGTGGGTGGGTGAGTGAGTGAGTGAGTGGGTGAGTGAGTGGGTGAGTGAGTGAGTGGGTGGGTGAGTGAGTGAGTGAGTGACTGAGTGAGTGACTGAGTGAGTGAGTGGGTGGGTGAGTGAGTGGGTGAGTGTGTGGGTGGCGGAGTGAGTGAGTGGGTGGGTGAGAGGGTGAGTGGGTGGGTGGGTGAGTGAGTGGGTAAGTGGGTGGGTGAGTGAGTGGGTAAGTGGGTGGGTGAGTGAGTGGGTGGGTGGGTGAGTGAGCGAATGAGTAGGTGGGTGAGTGAATGGGTGAGTGAGTGGGTGAGTGAGTGGGTGGGTGATTGAGTGTGTAGTAGTATATAGTATAGTAGTGTAGTGTAGTAGTGTATAGTGTAGTAGTGTATAGTGTAGTAGTGTATAGTGTAGTAGTGTATAGTGTAGTAGTGTATATTGTAGTGCAGTAGTGTTGTAGTGTATAGTGTAGTAGTGTATAGTGTAGTGTAGTAGTGTATAGTGTAGTAGTGTATAGTGTAGTGTAGTATTGTATAGTGTAGTAGTGTATAGTGTAGTAGTGTAGTAGTGTATAGTGTAGTAGTGTATAGTGTAGTAGTGTATAGTGTAGTGTATAGTGTAGTAGTGTATAGTGTAGTAGTGTATAGTGTAGTAGTGTATAGTGTAGTAGTGTATAGTGTAGTAGTGTATAGTGTAGTAGTGTATAGTGTAGTAGTGTGTAGTGTAGTAGTGTATAGTGTAGTAGTGTATAGTGTAGTAGTGTATAGTGTAGTAGTGTATAGTGTAGTAGTGTGTAGTGTAGTAGTGTGTAGTGTAGTAGTGTGTATAGTGTAGTAGTGTATAGTGTAGTAGTGTATAGTGTAGTAGTGTATAGTGTAGTAGTGTATAGTGTAGTAGTGTATAGTGTAGTAGTGTATAGTGTAGTAGTGTATAGTGTAGTAGTGTATAGTGTAGTAGTGTGTAGTGTAGTAGTGTGTATAGTGTAGTAGTGTATAGTGTAGTAGTGTATAGTGTAGTAGTGTATAGTGTAGTAGTGTATAGTGCTGTAGTGTAATAGTGTAGTAGTGTATAGTGTAGTGTAGTAGTGTATAGTGTAGTAGTGTATAGTGTAGTGTAGTAGTGTATAGTGTAGTGTAGTAGTGTATAGTGTAGTGTAGTAGTGTATAGTGTAGTAGTGTATAGTGTAGTAGTGTATAGTGTAGTAGTGTATAGTGTAGTAGTGTGTAGTGTAGTAGTGTGTAGTGTAGTAGTGTGTATAGTGTAGTAGTGTATAGTGTAGTAGTGTATAGTGTAGTAGTGTATAGTGTAGTAGTGTATAGTGTAGTAGTGTATAGTGTAGTAGTGTATAGTGTAGTAGTGTATAGTGTAGTAGTGTATAGTGTAGTAGTGTGTAGTGTAGTAGTGTGTATAGTGTAGTAGTGTATAGTGTAGTAGTGTATAGTGTAGTAGTGTATAGTGTAGTAGTGTATAGTGCTGTAGTGTAATAGTGTAGTAGTGTATAGTGTAGTGTAGTAGTGTATAGTGTAGTAGTGTATAGTGTAGTGTAGTAGTGTATAGTGTAGTGTAGTAGTGTATAGTGTAGTGTAGTAGTGTACAGTGTGGTGTGCAGTGTGGTGTACAGTGTAGTGTGCGGTGTAGTGTACAGTGTAGTGTGCAGTGTAGTGTACAGTGTAGTGTGCAGTGTAGTGTACAGTGTAGTGTGCAGTGTAGTGTACAGTGTACAGTGTAGTGTGCGGTGTAGTGTGCAGTGTGGTGTGCGGTGTAGTGTACAGTGTAGTGGTGTACAGTGCAGTGTGCAGTGTAGTGTACAGTGTAGTGTGCAGTGTAGTGTACGGTGTAGTGTACAGTGTAGTGTGCGGTGTAGTGTACAGTGTAGTGTGCAGTGTAGTGTGCAGTGTAGTGTACAGTGTAGTGTGCAGTGTGGTGTACAGTGTAGTGTGCGGTGTAGTGTACAGTGTGGTGTGCGGTGTGGTGTACAGTGTAGTGTGCAGTGTAGTGTACGGTGTAGTGTACAGTGTGGTGTGCGGTGTAGTGTACAGTGTAGTGTGCTGTGTAGTGTACAGTGTGGTGTGTTGTGTACAGTGTAGTGTGCAGTGTGGTGTACAGTGTAGTGTGCAGTGTGGTGTACAGTATGGTGTGCAGTGTAGTGTACAGTGTACTCACCGTGATGAGGGTGTCCATGACCAGCTTGCAGGATGCAAGACTGTGACTACTGGTCACCTCCACCAGCACCTCTGTAGTGTCCACACTCACCTACACACAGTGACACACACAGTGACACACACACAGTGACACACACATAGTGACACACACAGTGACACACACACAGTGACACACACACAGTGACACACACAGTGACACACACAGTGACACTCACCTACACACAGTGACACACACAGTGACACACACACAGTGACACACACAGTGTACACACACAGTGACACACACACAGTGACACACACAGTGACACAGTGACACACAGTGACACACTGACACACACACAGTGACACACACAGTGACACACACAGTGACACACACACAGTGACACACACACAGTGACACAGTGACACACACAGTGACACACACACAGTGACACACACAGTGACACACACAGTGACACACACACAGTGACACAGTGACACACACAGTGACACACACACAGTGACACACACACAGACTGTGACTACTGGTCACCTCCACCAGCACCTCCGTAGTGTCCACACTCACCTACACACACACAGTGACACACACACACAGTGACACAGTGACACACACACAGTGACACACACACACAGTGACACACACACAGTGACACACACACAGTGACACACACACACAGTGACACACACACAGTGACACACACACAGTGACACACACACACAGTGACACACACACACAGTGACACAGTGACACACACACAGTGACACACACACAGTGACACACACACAGTGACACACACACAGTGACACACACACACACACAGTGACACACACACACACACACAGTGACACACACACAGTGACACACACACAGTGACACAACAACAACAACAACAACAACCGCCATTCGCCACTAAGTGGCGGTGACATCACCACGACGCTTGTGCCAGGCTATGTGCACCTTGAGGCCACGTGAAGTGTCGAACGCCCGCTGGCAGGAGGTCACGGGGCAGACCCAGGTGCCACGGGTCGACTGACTGAGATGACTGGCTGATGCACCACCTGTGCCCCCTACTGTGCCAACCTGCTGTGCTTTAGCCACCCGGCGCTCCGCTCGCTGTTGTGAGCGTCGCTCCTCCGCCCTCCGTTGTTGTTGGAGGGCGACTGCCTCCAACTGCCCAGTAGCATCCTTCACGAGCCTCCTCCACAGAGGCCGATCTTGACACCGCTGGTACCAGTCATCGGCAAGTCCACTCAGCTCCACGTCCTCCTGTACCACATCACTCCATCTCTTCTCTAGCCCGTGCCGCGCCCGCTTAGCCCCCTCAATCCGGCCAAACAAAAGCTGTTTCGGCATGCGGTGGCTGGGCATGCGGGCTACATGATCCAGCCATCGCAGCCTTGCCTGCCGGAGGAGCTCACCGATGGGACCCTGCCCAGATCTTTCAAGGATTTGTGAGCTCCTCACACAATCCAGTCTGGTTAAACCCAGGATGGATCGTAGGCAGGCCAGCCTAAATGTTTCTAACCGGCGAAGATGTTCCATTAGGGGGGTCCACGTTTCGCAAGCGTAGAGAAGGGAGGGAATGACCGTGGCCGAGAAGACCTGAAGCTTAGTGCGGAGCGACAGACCAGGTAGCTTCCACACAGCGTTACGCAACCGATGAAAAGATATTGCCGCTCGACTGATTCGGAGTGAGACCTCTGCTGTTAAACTGGAGCCAGTCATAAGCACACTGCCCAGGTATGGGAAACTCTCCACTCTCTCCACAACTGCCCCATCACCGATTGGGAGTTGTGGGGGTGGAGTGTCTGATGGTACAAAATACCCAGGCAGGTGCTTAGTTTTGGTGGGGCTGATGGTAAGGCCCCACCTCTTAGTGGCACGCTCCAGTCTCAGCAGCAGCGTCTCCAACTCCTCCTCTGACTGAGCAGCTATTACCAAGTCATCAGCATACATAACGTGGTTGAGCAATAGGGAGCCATCCCTTGACCGCACCCGGGCATCGATTAGCCTCCCATTATATCTGTACCATATGGAGATTCCCCCGGTACAGCTATTGAAGGCTTCACGAACTACGTGGTCAAAATAGATGTTAAATAATGTGGGAGCCAGAGGACATCCCTGTCGCACCCCAAGGTGTACAGGGAATGGCTCTGACTCCCGGCCACGTAGTTTTACCCGGGCCCGCTCACCATCATGAAGGTCCTTAATGATCGTGAGCAGAGGGTCAGGTACTCCAAAAGCACGAAGAACGACCCAGAGCCCAGGCCTACTGATGGTATCATAGGCCTTGACCAGGTCAATAAAGCAGAGATGTAGGTCTTGTTGGAATTCCCTACACCTCTGCTGTAGCAGACGGACAGAAAATATGGCATCTGTGCAGGACCGCCCTTTCCTGAAACCGCATTGGGGCTCCGCAAGCCTCTCCTCAGCGTGCCTGGCAAGGCGATGCTGAATAATCCTTGCCAGGACCTTTCCCGGCACACTGAGGAGTGAGATGCCCCTGTAGTTGTTACAGTCTGTGCGGTCCCCCTTCTTAAAAAGGGGGACCACCAGGGCATCCTTCCAATCCTGCGGAACCCGTCCAGTGGTCCAGACTGTTGTTATGATGTCATATAGGGCAGCCTGTGCACAAACGCCACCCTCCCTCAGCATTTTGCTTGGGAGATCATCTCTGCCCGCTGCCTTTCCTGGTCTCAGACTCCGGATCGCCTTCAATACTTCCTCAGCAGATGGCACCTCAGCCAGCCACTCACAGGGGGTGACTTCTTCCAATATTTGAGGCACCGCAGCCTCAGCAGGGTCATCCTCACTTTGTGCCACGGTGTTTTCCTGGCTGAGGGATTTTCCCTACCCCAGGACCTCACAGAAATGCTCAGCAAATCTGCGAACCTGTTCCTGGGGGTCGGAAATTGGATCACCGTTTTTTCCCCTAATGATGGTAATAGGTGTGGCGCTGCAGGTTACTTTTTTGATGGAGTTAAATAGAGATTTGTGATCACGGGCCACTGAGGCAGACTCCATCTCCTCAGCAACCCGCGACCACCACCCATCCTTGCAGCGCCTCACGGCTCTCCGAACCTCCGAGCGAAGGCTGCGGTAAGCCTCCTCATTCTCTGACGTGGGATTCTGTAGCCGATGACAGTGGGCCTGTCGCTTTTTCTCAACCATCCTGAACAACTCCTCTGTCATCCAGGGTGTCTGGGGAGGTCTGGACCGCGTACCCAAAGCAGCCATTGCAGCTGCATGAGTCACAGTCCTAAACCTCGCCCATTTACCCTCGACATCAGGAGGAGTCGGGGACGATGCCAATCCCAGCCGCAAGCGATGATGAAATTCTCGCTTGCGACTTTCATCAGATAACTGAGACCAGGCCACTTTAGGTTGGAATGGGGTCCTGGGTGTACACCCACCACCGGAGTGGAAGAATGGCAGGCGCATCTTACAGATGACTAGTCGATGGTCAGAGGGCAGATCAGCTCCACGGTAGGTCCTGGTGTCAAGGACATGGGCTCGCATTCGCTGGTCCGTCACTATGTAGTCCAGCAGATGTTCTTGCTTGGACCCGGCATGCATCCATGATGTTGTGTGGATGCGCCGATGCCGGAACAGCGTGTTGGTAATTACAAGCCCATGGGCTGCACAAAAATCTAGCAGCCTCCTACCGTTGTTATTGAGCTGATCTGGCCCATGCCCTCCAATCACTCCAGACCAGGTGCCAGTATCATGACCAACTCGGGCATTGAAGTCACCCAACATGATGACTCTATCCCGAGGGGCCACTTTAGCCAGCACCTGTGACAGGAGGTCATAGAAGGCATCTGACTCATCGGCTTTGCCTGCATCCCTCCACGGATGTTCATCTTCGGTGGGGGCATAAGTAACCACGACCACCATTCCTCGCCTCCGGTTGATGGGAAGGCGAGCCCAAAGTAGCCTGGGGCTTACAGCTTCCCACACCTCACCGCCACGCTCCCACGCCCCCTTCATTCTTTTGTTCAAAAGAAGACCCACACCCTGTTGTTTGGCAGTCTGCTGCCCCGAGTAGAGGACTGTCCACCCCTCATGGTGGCAGGAGCCAGAGCCGGTCCACCGGACCTCCTGAATGCCGCATAGATCCAGGCGGTACCGGTCCAGCTCCCGACAGAGGAGTGGCAGCCTCTCCTCTGCAGTGAGCGTTCGAACATTCCACGTGGCCACCCGTAGTGGCTTTTCGTTGTTTCTGGAGTAGCCCCGAGGGTAGGTATTCAATCTCCTGGCTCCGCCAATTGGGTTTTGGCCAGGAGACGTCATAGACGCCTGGCCCCCCGGGGCCTCCGGCACAAGCTTAGTTGTTACATATTTCAGTTTAATTCGTGGTTTTGTGGTAATTAATTGAAGGTGGAGGGGTTACCAGCCCCTCGCACCCGTCCAGAGCCCCCGTTTAGCCCCTGTGGTGGACACATATGCCATGAGGGGAGGAGCCAATCGAAATTGGATCTCCCCCCACAGCGCTGTCCACGACAGAGTTGCCCGTCCGGCACCGCGACACACACAGCGACACACACAGTGACACACACAGTGACACACACACAGTGACACACACACAGTGACACACACAGTGACACACACAGTGACACACACACAGTGACACACACAGTGACACACACAGTGACACCTTAGTAGTTTGAGAGTTGGTGATGGGAGGGAGAGAGATGGTCACTCCATCTCGATCCACCAGAAACGGGTACATCGCTTGGCCTTGAAGGAGGTGGAGATACCTGCACAGACAAAAGTCACCCATGTAGCCTCAAGGGACAGTAGGGGCAAGTGCCCTCAGTGGGAGCCACTCAGTCAGTCACTCAGTCAGTCACTCAGTCAGTCACTCGCTTAGTCACTCAGTCACTCACTCAGTCAGTCACTCACTTAGTCACTCAGTCACTCACTCAGCCACTCAGTCACTCACTCAGCCACTCGCTCAGTCACTCAGTCACTCACTCAGTCACTCAGTCACTCAGTCAGCCACTCAGTCACTCAGTCAGTCACTCAGTCAACTCACTCAGTCAGTCACTCAGTCACTCACCCACTCACTCAGCCACTCAGTCACTCACTCAGCCACTCACTTACTCACTCAGTCACTCACTCAGGCACTCAGTCACTCAGTCAGTCACTCAACCACTCAGTCACTCAGTCACTTAGTCACTTAGTCACTCAGTCACTCACTCAGTCACTTAGTCACTCAGTCACTCAGTCACTCACTAAGTCACTCACTCAGGCACTCAGTCACTCAGTCACTTAGTCACTTAGTCACTCAGTCACTCAGCCACTTAGTCACTCAGTCACTCACTCAGCCACTCAGTCACTCACTCAGCCACTCATTCAGCCACTCACTCAGTCACTCATTCACTCACTTAGTCACTCACTCACTCACTCAGCCACTCACTCACTCAGTCACTCACTCAGTCACTTAGTCACTCAGTCGCTCAGCCACTCACTCACTCAGTCACTTAGTCACTCACTCACTCAGCCACTCAGTCAGCTACTCACTCACTCACTCAGCCACTCACTCAGCCACTCACTCAGTCACTCAGCCACTCACTCACCACTAACTCACTCCGTCACTTAGTCACTCAGTCACTCACTCAGCCACGCACTCACTCAGCCACTCACTCACTCAGCCAATCAGTCACTCAGTCACTCACTCACTCAGTCACTTAGTCACTCACTCATTCAGTCACTTAGTCACTCACTCACTCACTCAGCCACTCACTCACTCAGTCACTCACTCAGTCACTCACTCACCACTCAGTCACTCACCACTCACTCACCCACTCAGCCACTCACTCACTCAGCCACTCAGTCACTCACTCACTCACTCACCACTAACTCACTCAGTCACTCACTCAGTCACTCACTCAGTCACTTAGTCACTCAATCACTCACTCAGCCACTCACTCACTCAGCCACTCACTCACTCAGCCAATCAGTCACTCAGTCACTCACTCACTCAGTCACTTAGTCACTCACTCACTCAGTCACTTAGTCACTCACTCACTCAGTCACTTAGTCACTCACTCACTCAGTCACTTAGTCACTCACTCACTCAGCCACTCTCTCACCACTCACTCACTCAGTCACTCAGTCAGCCACTCACTCAGTCACTTAGTCACTCGCTCACCCCTCACTCAGCCACTCACTCAGTCACTCACTCAGCCACTCACTCAGCCACTCAGTCAGCCACTCACTCACTCAGTCACTCACTCACTCAGCCACTCACTCACTCAGCCACTCACTCAGTCAGCCACTCACTCAGCCACTCACTCACTCAGCCACTCACTCACTCACTCAGCTACTCACTCACTCACCCCACAGCCACTCACTCACTCAGCCACTCACTCACTCAGCCACTCACCCACTCACTCACTCAGCCACTCACTCACTCAGTCACTTAGTCACTCACTCACTCAGTCATTCACTCACTCAGCCACTCACTCACTTACCACTCACTCACTCAGCCACTCACTCACTCAGTCACTCAGTCAGCCACTCACTCAGTCACTTAGTCACTCACTCACCACTCACTCAGCCACTCACTCACTCACCCCACAGCCACTCACTCACTCAGCCACTCACTCAGTCAGCCACTCACCCACTCAGACACTCACCCATTCAGTCACTCAGCAACTCACTCACTCAGCCACTCACTCAATCATTCAGCTACTCACTCACTCAGCCACTCACTCACTCACCCCACAGCCACTCACTCACTCAGCCACTCACTCACCCACTCACTCACTCAGCCACTCAGGCACTCACCCACTCACTCACTCAGACACTCACCCATTCAGTCACTCAGCAACTCACTCACTCAGCCACTCACTCAATCATTCAGCTACTCACTCACTCAGCCACTCACTCACTCACCCCACAGCCACTCACTCACTCAGCCACTCACTCACCCACTCACTCACTCAGCCACTCAGGCACTCACCCACTCACTCACTCACTCAGACACTCACCCATTCAGTCACTCAGCACCTCACTCACTCACCACTCACTCAGCCACTCACTCACTCACTACTCACCACTCACTCAGCCACTCACTCACTCAGCCACTCACTCAGTCAGCCACTCAGTCACTCAGCCACTCACACAGCCACTCATTCAGCCACTCACTCACTCAGCCACTCAGTCACTCACTCAGCCACTCAGTCACTCACTCAGCCACTCACTCACCCACTCAGCCACTCACTCAGCCACTCACTCACTCACTCAGCCACTCACTCACTAACCCACCCACTCAGCCACTCAGCCACTAACTCACTCAACCACTCACCCACTCACTCACTCACCCACTCACTCAACCCACTCAGCCACTCACCTACTCATTCACTCACTGTGTGTGTCACTGTGTGTGTGTCACTATGTGTGTGTCACTGTGTGTTTCACTGTGTGTGTGTTTCACTGTGTGTGTGTTCACTGTGTGTGTGTGTCACTGTGTGTGTCACTGTGTGTCCGGCTGTGTGTGTGTGTCACTGTGTGTGTGTCACTGTGTGTGTCACTGTGTGTGTCACTGTGTGTGTCACTGTGTGTGTCACTGTGTGTGTGTCACTGTGTGTGTGTCACTGTGTGTCACTGTGTGTGTTACTGTGTGTGTGTCACTGTGTGTGTGTCACTGTGTGTGTGTGTCACTGTGTGTGTCACTGTGTGTGTGTCACTG